CCTCGTCAACACAAGTCATATTTCGTCAAGAAAGTCACATCTCGTCAAGACAAGTCGTACCTCGTCAACACAAGTCATATTTCGTCAGGAAAGTCACATCTCGTCAAGACAAGTCGTACCTCGTCAACACAAGTCGCACCTCGTCAAGAAAGTCACATCTCGTCAAGACAAGTCGTACCTCGTCAACTCAAGCCGCACCTCGTCAAGAAAGTCACATCTGGTCAAGAAAAGTCGTACCTCGTCAACACAAGTCATATTTCGTCAAGAGACAGTAAAGGATTCCCGAAGAAAGGTCTTTCAGAGAAGTAACAACAACACTCTGATTTGCAGAATTCAACATCGATAGAAGGCTGACCTTGTTGCTCGTTCTGATTATACTTCAGATTTCATGAGCTGTGAAGATATAAAGCCACCCCTACTAAATCTTAATTTACGAACGTCAATGCTTAGTGATGTTCCTATTCTAAATCACTTGACAAATCATCAGAATCCTGATTGATATTAAATTAATTTGATAAAGGAATTTGATAAAAGTGATTTTGCTTTCAAAGTTAATATATTGTAAACTACAGTTTTTCTAGAGTCGCGTTTTGCTGTTGCAAGGTATCTTAAAACACCTCGAAATAACGAGATAGTCTTCTTAACAGAACAAAATGGAAATTATATATATATATCCAATTAATACACAATAAGAATATCTCAAAATTTGAGTGAATATCTGTGTGGCAGACAATGTGGGGAGTTTGTTGTATAAATAACATAACTTTGTGATACATTTGAATGTTTGTTAATAAATCATTCAAGACAGAAGATATTAGAATATACATTACCATAATGCAAAATAGAACTCACGTACTTTGGCTTTTGAGTTTGTATTTAACACAAACTGGGGACAACTGAGAACCTAACCGACCTGTAAAACAATCGATAGCAAAAAGAACAAACATAATATGTTAAAGAAAGGCCTTTCTCAACATTAACAGAATCAATAACTGTAGTGGATTTCTCCATATGCATAAAATATATTTCCCCTGGTGAAACTATCTCAAAGGTTGGTAATTTAGAACTATATTTCTGTTGAAGTAGACGACATAAAAGGTTGTTGACCATCTGATGAATATTTAAAAGGTAATAAAAATTCTGGCGATGCGTGTTCTAGGATAGCCTTACTGCAGTCCAAAAGGACAAAAAATAACAAACAAAAAACATATGTAAAATCACATATTTTAAGTAACGGTGAATAATTAAATTGTGTAATTTTATAACGTAGTATTTGTAGTTAGAGGCTTATGGATGATTTTACATATACATAGTTTCCTAATAATCGCTGCACTAACACGTGAAGGTGTTTTTCGACTTTTTTATACCTAGATCTGGCTCTAAAAGTTTCATATTTTGCTTCAACAAGAAAGAGCAGAGAATAAATTCAGATGAACGATCTCACCAGTGTGTTTCTTAGCGTTGATATTTCACTGTCCCTGACTTGCAATCTAAGAGGATCATTTCAAGTCAGATTGTACTTCAAACGTTTGTGCCTAAAACTTTTCATGCAATGTCGATTTCAAACGACTCCCAGCATCGGTGTGAAGCGTCACGAAAATAAAAACTAGTCAAATGATGAAAACCCCCATAGGTTTCCACAGTTAACAAGTAAAGTACGTTGTAGGTTGTACGTCCGTTTCAATTATATAGATTAATATTCATTTCCAATGAAGTTGTATACGTCAACATACGAATGATATTGTTTAGTGTAATACAATAATTTTGTTTGACCAACATTTTGATGAAACAAGAAACAGAGAATACTTTAACCAATGAAAGGCCACGTTATTAGGCTACACCCACACACTTGTAGAGCATTCTATTTATTTGCATTAACAAAGAAAAAACTGATCATAAATTTATTAGGCGATTGCTTTAATTAAAATCAAGAATAATGATAATTAGTGTGTATGATATTTATAGTTTTTGGAATACTTAACATGCAGATAAATGGCCCGTAAAGATGGAGATTAGAAATAAAGGATTTGGGGTAAGTTGTTACCTCACTTGTTTGGACACCGCGTGCTGATTGAGTGCCTCAGGGGTAGAGGGTAGAGACGATGATGTCATAGTTCCACCAAATGGAATCAGAGGGAGCATTGCTAGGAACACGTTGCTAGGGCGCCATAATAGACGGATATTATCATGCCGCCATGATAACTAAAGTTGCCTGCTATGAGAAAGCAAGTTTCTAGGGCCAAGAGATGGCACCAGAGGGCGTGTTCATATGATGAGAGTGTAGATAGATCAACATCACATTAACTTTATAGTAACAATCAAAGTCTTAAAATTAATGATTAAATTTAACTTGCCTAACGTTGTGTTTACAGTTTTCCTTTGTAAGTAAAACATTAAATACATTTAAAAAAGGGACTATGTTTCTACAGGTTGATTGTGTTACTAAGGTTCTATAGGCGGATGATCTTACTAGGCATATTGTGTGTGTTGTATAAAGGCGGATGGTGTTTCTATAAAGAACAATGCTACTATACTTCCACAAGACTGCATACAGATTTCAACTTGTCTCAATTGATGTTTATATTTTTCATTTATATATTTAATTGTATTACATGTGTTTCTATAGGAGGATAGTGTTAGGTTCTATAGGTGGATGATGCTACTAAGGACAATGTTAGCATAGTTCGTAGGATCATCAATTAATCAATATTATTTTACTTTATCTTCATACAATTATCGATCACTTTATGTACAGAACACTTTACTATTTCATTAGTTCTAAGGTCTTTGCCTCTATATTTAACTTGTATTACATACTTTTTGCTGTTTCTAGGGCCGGATTGTGTTAATGTACTGATATATGTAAAACAATCTGTTCTTTTAATCTTATCAACATTATAGTATTCTCTTACATATGTTTTACATAGGTAGATGGTGTTTATATAGGCGGATAGTATTATTAAGATTCTATAGGCAGATTATACTACTAGGCGGACGATGCTACTAAGGTTCTATAGGCGGATGGTCTTACTAGGCGTATTGTGTGTGTTTTACAAAGGCAGACATTTTTACATCACTACCGTAAAATTGCACACGGATTTCAACTTGTCTCAACTTATATTTATAGTTTTCATTTATATTTTTAACTATATTACGTGTGTATTACAAAGGCGGATAGTGTTTCTATAAGCAGACAGTGTTACTGTACACAGTTGGATTACACACAGATTTCAACTTGTCTCAAACTCTGTCTATATTTTTCATTTACATATTTAACTGTATTACATGTGTCTCTATAGACGGATATGTCACCAATACATTTATCTTACTGCTGAAAGTTTTTATCACACCTAATGTTTCGTTTTTATAAATATCGAGCGAGACAGCCGATTGTATTTTTATGATTTCATACATATTTAACGTATTTTAGTTTTTGCTTCTATAATTGATTTGCATAACATAATTTTTGCAACTATCGTTCTGAAAATAACGTTTATTTAGATCTCTAAATATCATGCAATAATTTAACATACAACCTTACAGTTTCACTTGTTTGGTTTCATGGATTAAATATACTAATCCTTTACCCATATATAACTAGGATTTTTATTGTGTGTAACAGTTCTTGGTAAAATATTTTATTACACACATGTTTTACAAAAACTGACAGTGCTGCTATGGGCAAATGATGTTATTATTACAAGACCTTACTAAAGATAGGGTTACTTTATGTGTAAGGTGTAACTAGGGGCGGTGTTTCTATAGTTATACAAGTAAAACCCTTATTTCAACAAGATAGTTGTTATAATTCTGT